ACGATAAGCATTGTGTATTACTAGCTAGGAGAGCTTTTTAATATGTCTTTTCTTTGTAGCTGTTAAATACGCTCTTAAAGCCATAAAGTTGTCTGCCTGCTGCCTTAGAATTTTCACTGAATATGTGTTTGAAAAAAAAGTTTTGGCTTGAATCTGGGCTTATTTTACTTTGATTGACAATGCCCATGCGTGTGTTTGTGTGCGCTGGGCTTGTTGGAACAGGCATTGTTTCTTATCTAAAAACCATTTTAGGAAAAGTCTTCATTTAGATTAATCAGCTACTCAATGAAAACGCAAACAAATTAATCGATAGAAATGTATTCATTGTGGGCAGCTCTGTCTATTATGCACACACCTACTGTATATTTTCTCTATCAACTTCATCTGTGCGCTTTTAGTTTTAGTATTTGCATAACTCTCCTCACAAATCATGTAGATCTCTCAACTGAGGCTAAAATTAATTTTGAAACCAGACAAAGAACTTCTGATCATACCTGAAATGTTCACAGCCCTGATACTGCATATCACCTGGCAACCAAACCTAATCATAGCCATTAGAGCATAATACAGAGACACACCTTTGTAAAGCTCAGGCAGAGGCTACTTGTATGAGCCAAACCTCAGTGCTGGCAAAAACCCAGAGTGCTGAGTGTGACTGACAGCTCGCAAAGCCATGGCAGTTGGGGGAAGTTTGAAACTTACCTTTGCTTTGTTCAAAACAACCCTGACAGCTTGAATCGCATGTCTTTCGTTTTCATTTGACTATCTGTGGAAAATGCTGGTAGCTTTTCTTTTGAAACAAGCATCCATTACATGAAGTAAACTGCTTCAATCACAGACAAACTTGCTGTCATGTGGATGTTGTATCCCAAATAAATACAGACAAGAACACATGCAAATACAAACACACACACACACACACACACATGCACTCTGCACCACATGTGAAGCACACCTGTCCAAGGTTACTTGTCCCTGTCCTAGTTCTTGTCAGACACACACAATGATAGGGACGCTAATAAATTACATATATATATATATTTTATCACACCCCTCTAACACCACACAAACACTTTGCACTAAGGCCTCACATGGACAACGCATCCAAACTTTCTTACACATAAACAGCAAGCATGACACCACAAGAGTCTGAGTCAGCAGAATA